ACCAGGGGCTGCAAGGGAGAAAGATGGACAGTTAACTCCCATGCACATTACAACATGAAAAACCCAGTGGAGAATCAGTTGGGAGTTGGTTCCAACTTGATGGCAATGAATATTTGAATTATTCATCATGAAAGGAGGTCTGCTGTATTGTGTTCATGGTGTGGTGTGTTGCTAATATATAAGTCATTTATCTCTAGTGATTTGAATAAAAAAATTCTTCTCATGTACTTTGGTCATGTTGCTAGGAGAGGCTGTTCATTGCAGAGGGACATCATGCTTGGGAAGGTGGAGGGTTAGTGAAAGAGAGGAAGACCCTCAATGAGGTGGATTGACACAGTGACTGCAGCAGTTGGCTCAGATGTATTAGATTGTGAGGATGACACAGGATAGGAAAAGGTTCAGATCGTGTCTATAGTATCTCTGTGAATCGTGCTTGACGATTGGCACCTCACAACAACAGTGACTCCAGGGGGAAAAGGTGGGCAATCTCTTTCTGTCCTCTTACGTTACAACTGACTCAGTGCCAGTGAGTCAGGTTATTTATTCCTGACACAAATGATGCCTCTCAAATCGTGTCTAATGGACCTACATCATTAAAGTTCTACCATTTTTGAAGACTCCTGGGCTCCTTGCTAGAAGAACTGTTGGTTTTTAGAGAGCATGCCAGTAGCTACAGTCCCACTCAAGGGCTTGTGGAAACCATTTTTACTGACAAAGAAGAAAAAGAAATTAAAGGGCGTATTGAAGTAACCGCTTCCATTTCATTTGGGATTGGCATTCATTAGCTTAGAAATAACTGCATGATATTTGCCGTTTCCTGTAGAAATTTTTAACGCCAAGTCCATTGTTGAGAATGACTGAGGAGACAGTGAATTCTGTATGAAGGATTCACTGTTTCATTAAATGAATTGAGCTGTTTCCTGGTGTTTGTGTTTACCATGGAACTTACAAAGGAGACGAAAATACAGACTCAAAGGAGGAAGGAAAGGAAGGATCAAGTCCCGATGGTGCTGCCTGAATGCCTCTCTCAGCAAATTCTGTTTGCAGGAGGAATTTAATGCTGATAAGCGAATCATCATCCTGGCAGAATTAACTCTTTCTCTTTGTACCCACTGAGCTCTCTTAAGAAGTGCATGGCTATAAAATGCAGCAATTATGTCTTCTTTTACTATGTAGGATAAAACGAAAGTAAATAAAACACAAGATATATAGTTGTCCTTAAGTAAAAGTGAATTTTCCTCAAGTCCAAATGAATGATGTCTAATAATATTATTTTATACTTCAGCAGTTTAACAGCAATTGGCTACCTAAAAGGAGGATGTTGGACATGACGCATGAAGTAGCTGGCTTACGCGCTTTCATGAAAGTACTTGTTGGTGTAATGATTGTAAAGGGGAAAAAACCCAAACCTACCCACAAAATAGAAGAATGAAATTTAATGTAAATGAAAGACTGGATAGAGCATAACATACAAACATGAAACACAGTGTATGTGAATGATAAAAATATTAATTAAAAAAGTGAAAATATTATAAAACAAAACAGGGTCATTCTAGAAAAATCTGGCAAAGACAAAAGAAGGAAATAAGAAAATAACATGACCCCCTAGGACAGCACCTAAAGGTAATCATTGTTGTTGCTGAATTCCAGCCAGTTGATTTTTAAATTCCCAGTGACCCCATGCTACCGAGTAGAAATGCCCTATAAAGTTTCCTAGGTTGAAAGAGGTCTAGTGGTAAGAAGCTGCCATGCAGTCCCAAAGGCTTGTGGTTCAAATCGACCAGCTGCTCTGCAAGAGAAAGATGGGCAATTCCTGTTTCTGAAAACCTGCTGGACGGTCAGCTATTTGTCAATTCCAATTTGACAGCCCATGACAACACAAGTCTTCTTAAGAATGATTTTGTAAATTACTGCCAAACTTGGAAGTGTCTGGAGAGGATTATGCTAAGGGAACTCAGTCCCATAAGGACAAATACTGTATAAAACCATTACTGTAGAATGTGTATGAGCATCCAAGGGCGGAGAGTGGGAGCCGAGGGGTGAGAATGGGGGGAGCATCTTAATAATAGGGTTGCACAATTCTATGGGTGGAGGGAGGGTGGGTAAAGGAAATGAGAAAGATTCACGTGAAATACAATATATACAGACTTTGTAAGTAAACTGGTATAAAAGAAAATTTTATTTAAAAAATGAACACAAAAGACATGTTACATTGGGAAATCTGCTGTCAAGAGCTTCTCCAAAATGTTAAAAAGCCAACAGTGATCTGGTGGGGACCTGAAAAGACAGGGTTATTAATGGGCATAGTCCAATGGTGATTGATTTTATAAAACATAATGCATGGAAATGATTGTAGGAAACACAATGTGAATGAAAAATAGTGTGAAACAATGCCTATGAACTTTGTAAGCGAACCAATATTAAATAATTTTTTAAAGTTAGAAATCATTAAAAATAAAAGAATAAGGTAACAAAAATAAAGAATAAAGTATACTTGATAAAAACAAAAAAAATTTAAAAAAGAATATATAGATCTAGTTTTCTTGAGAATGCTTTGCCCATTTTTCCTCCCTCCAAGCCACAGATGGGTTTGAACTGCACATCTTTGCGTTAGCAGCCAGACAGCCATTCTGCCACTAAGGGTCTTTGTTAACAAGTGACAAAAGGAAATTATAAATTCAGTATTCCCCCACAGCATACACTACGACGGAGCATTTAGTTACCTTTCCCCAGTACATGTGGGGAAAAAACAACTTTCTAGTTCTGAGCAGGAAAAAAAAAAGCTGTCACTCACAGCCCTTCCTGTAGGGGGCACTGCCTCAAGAGAAAGCCAGGGCTCCAGCGCTGAGTGTGGACAGAAGAGCCAAGACTGGGTGTCAGGAGAAACTGGCCTCCAGGCCTTTTCTGATAGTGTGAATTTAGACAGCTCACCTTGCTTGTTTTGGACTCCCCGCCTTCCCTTACTACTTTGAAGTGGCAGGGTTACATCATTATTGTTTTCATTCCGTATTCAACAGAAGCTTGTCAGAGGTGGATATGAGACGTTTCTTCTAAGAATTTACCATTGACGGTGTAGCTGAAAGAATAAATGTCGGTTATAGCTCAATGTGGCCATTAGAGGACTCAGGGTCAGGTATAGCTCGGTGTGGGGATGGGAGGACTCTGGAGAATGGATGCTGTCAGGTGGGACAGAGCACTGGGTGGAAGGAAGTTTTCCCAGAAGAAGAGTGAAAGTTACCTGGGTGCCCAGGGCAGATGAGCTGTGAGGAGAGGGGTCTCTCAGGCTCCTCGACACCACTCACAACTGTGCCCTGTCCCATACAACTGGGCTCTGTCCCACACAATTGGGCTTTATACTGTCCCATCTTCAGCTGGCCATGCCACACTGCACAAAGCCTTTCAGAGACCTCTGCTCATGTCTGTAAATTCTGCGCTTCCACTACACTGAAATGAAAGCTGGCTGCCATGAGTCGATTCTGAGTCAGTGACCCTGTCAGACAGAGCTGAACCCTCCCATGGGCTTTCCAAGGCTTTAAGTTTTCACAGAAGCAGAGTGCCTCATCCTTGTCCTTCAGAGCAGTTGGGGGGTTCAAACCATCCAGGTTTTGTTTAGCAGCCGAGCACTTTATCCGTGACACCACCAGAGTCCTTGTTACTAGATTGTTGTTGTATGGAGCCCATTCCAGCCCCTGTATGTGGGAAGGAAGCTCTGCCCATTCCTGTCCCTTCTTCCCATTGCCACAGCTTTTGAGTGTGTCCTCGCTGAGGGCCTCCCCGTTCCATTTTACCAAGCAGATGTCTTGATACATGAATGCATGCTAAATAAACAAGCCTAATCTGTATATGGGACAAATACAGCCTCTCTACTTATGCCCTCAGCCCTGTTGAAAACCTTTAAGGCATAGATCTATGTCTCTGTCATTCAAATGATAATCTGCCTCCAACCTGCAGCATCTCTGGCCTTTGTCCTCCAGGCCTAAAGGCAATTGGCTTTCCCTGTTGCTTCTCTTCCCCCTTGGTGCCTTACAAAGGCTCCTGAGGAAGACCTTCCAGGGCTTTTAGCATAGCTATGGGGAGAAAGCTGACTTTTCTTTCTCTCCCTCCACCTGGGTGGCTTTCCCCACAGTATCACAACTGCATGCTAGGTCACCAGGGTGATCTTTTTTGTTCACTGCCTTCATGTCCATTCCAATGTGGGCAGCTCTTGGTTTTCAAGAGGCTGTAAGTCTTTACAGGGACAATGCTCATCTTTCTCCCACTGAGCAGCAGGTCGATTAGAGAGATGCAGAGCCTGTGGATAGCAGGGCCACATCCTCCAGAGTAGGCACCAAGCTCCTCCCACCAACAGCAAGGGCAGAATTCTGAGAGGAGGATTGTGAGGTTAAGGAGTGCTCTAAGGGAAGGGCCCCTTGACCAACAGGGCCCATGCTTGTGGTTGGGTTGGGTGTCCTTGGGTCCATTCTGACTCAGAGTCATCCTAGAGGATAGAGCAGAACTGCCCACTGTTTTCCAAGGCTGTCATCTTCACAGGAACAGCCTGTGTCCCAGTTTTCACTGGGAGTGGCTGGTGGTTTGAAACTGCAGAACTTTCAGTTAGTAGCCAAACGCTTAACCTTTGCACCTCCAGGGCTCCTGTGTGCTTGTGAAATGCAGACTAAAGGATACAGCCCCCACACACTTCTCTTGGGTAAGGCTACAGCCTCTTTGATTCAGGAATCATCACTGGTTTTGTGCTTAAAAACAAACTAACAAAAACCTCCTCCAAACCCACCACTTTCCGGTCTGTTCCAGCTCATGGGCACTCTGTAGGACCGGGTGGACCCACACAGGGGGTTTCCAAGGCTGAGCATCTTTATGAGAGCACATTGCCAGGTTTTCCTGTGGAACAGCTGGTGGGTTCGAACCACTGACCTTTTGGTTAGCATCTAAATATTACATCTGAGTTCCTGTATTTCGATCACTTACATTTTCTTTTTCCTTTTCGTTTCCTTCCCATTCAGACCCAGAACAACCATTCATAGAGATGCACAGTGAGATCCCGCAGGTCATCTACATGTTGGAAGGCAAGGAGCTTATCATCCCCTGCCGGGTGTCCTCCCCAGATCTCAACGTGGTTTTATCTAAGGTATGGGGGACAATGCGGGTTTCAGAATGTTCTCATCACTGATGGAGCAGAATGACGTGGCCTTTCTCTGTGTTTCTCTGGAATTTTCTGTCATTCTTTTATATAAAGGGTTATTACTGCAAGAGGTTACACTCATGGATGTACTTAAGTAGGACAGAGCAAGAGTGTCTTAAGTGTCCATCTCTGTAAGTAATAAAAGCACTCTGAAAATATTTTTTAAATCTGTTGTCGCATATCTAGACATCTGCACTAAGTTGGATACCTGGCTTGGGTATTTTTGGTTTCTTAAAGTTTTAGTTATTATAGATTTTTATGATCAGTATCTTTATAAATCCTAATAGTGATCATCAGGGATTGAACAGCTAATTACATGCTGCAACATTATATATAATTCAGTACTGTTGTTGTGTACTGTTGAGTCAGAACCAGCCCATAGCTGATCCTCCAGTGAGTTTTCAGAACCAACCCATAGCTGACCCTCCAGTGGATTTTCAGAGGAGGTGAATTGCATGAGAGGAGATTGCCCATCCTTCTTCTGCAGAGCGGCTGGTAGATTCAAACCACGTGTCTTTGGAATTGCAGACAGCTTCTTGCCATTACTGATGATTAAACAGGGAGCTCTGGTTGCTGAGTGGACTTGCACTTCCACCCCAAAGGCAGAGGGTGAGAATCCAACCCAACCATTCCAAGGGAGAAAGATGAGCACTCTCTTTTCCATAGTAAGAGCAGTCAAGAAATCAAAAGACTGAGCGAGCATAAAGTACCCATCAGAGCCCCTTTCCACAACTTGAAGTTAAAGGAAGCTGGTGAGTATGCTCACTCGTGGTGACCACCTAGATCCACTGGAGTGGGTTTAAGAGTCATGCAGCAGTGAAGAGACAGCCTGAGTTTAGACATGTTCTGGCAGTGTTGTTGACCTGGCATGTGCAGATACATGGATAAGTGCAAAAGGGTTGCTAGCTTTGAGAAGCAGGGAGTCATGAGGACCCCCACCTTGTTGACTTGGCTCCATGTGGCAAAGACTGAGTGAAGAGGCCAGTCAGTCCCAAACACAGGAAGAAGCGGTGACTCCTGAGTTTGTAGCTTATGTCTATTTGGACCCAGCCTTGGATGGTTTGAGATAAGTTGACCAAAATCCAAGCAAATAAAGATTTTCCATGCAATGACCGAGAGTTAATTGCTGCAAGCTGATTGTTCTTGCCAGGATTTTGCTTATTGATTGTTGTTTTTGTTAAGTGCCGTCAAGTCATAGACGACTCATAGCAACCCTATGAACATAAGACCTGAACACTTGTATAACTTTCATCATTTCACTAAGTTCATAATGTTTCCGGAGGCAAGCTATTTCAGAAGTGGTTGCCACTCCTGTTTCCAAGCCTGTTTTAATCTGGGAGCTCCACCAAACACTGTCCACCATGGGTAACATTATTGCATTTGACACTTTAGTTCACAGTATTTAGCATCCAGCAACCATGAGTTACATCTACACAGCAAATTGACAGACCAGTGCTAATACCACTTAGAAGAATGTTTGACCAAAAACAATTAAAATCAGGCCTGAGGGTCGCAGATTAAAATCACCCACCTTTGGCTTGGTAGCATCACTTTCATTCCACTAGACCCACAGACCTCTCTGTGGTTCACAGCAATTCTATGAACAACAGATCTAACCCTTGTGCTATCTTACGCCATCCCCACAATCCGAGACATGCTTGAGTCAATTGAGTCACCATATCAATCCATCAGGTTGAGGATCTTCTTTTCTTCTCTGACCTTCCACTTCTCTCAGCATGGTGTCATTTCCCAAGAACTGGAACCTTAAACTGTTGTTTGTTGTTGTTAAGTGCCATTGAGTCATAGATGACTCATAGCAACCCTATGAATACTTGTTCCTATAGCTTTTGCTTATAGATACAGATGCTGAATGTTCTAACTGGAACAGAAGATTCTTCAGAGAAAGGAACATACTTGTTTCTTCAGATGAGTGGTTTGATAGTAGTGGGCAAATCAGAAAATTGTCTAAAATGGGGGGGATTAAAGCATGAAAAATAAAGTTGCTGATGACACACTTTCATGAGTATGGCTATTGTCTATTGTAAGAAGTTAATTTTTTATATGTGAGTATTAAGGGCTGGAAAAGCCAGCAGATGGAACCTTAAGTGTCTAAAGTTTATCATTCAAAATTGTATTTCCTAGCCAAAAGGTGAACTGTTGGTTTTATGCTGAAATAATTATTGTATTAAGGACAGAGGATGCTACTATGTAAATGGATGGAAATATGTGAAGGGGGTGTGTTAGCCTATCCGCAAGGCAATAGCCTATCTGCCATTCCACAAGGGGATGGCCTAGTATTACAAATAAATTGAACAGCTCCAGCAGCAAAGATAGATCTTCTGGTGCCATTGAAGAGACAGCATGATAAGAGACAGCTCCACCTATACCCCAGCAGCTCGTACGGGAGGTGGGTAGGGGAGAGCCAATATTCGCAGGACTGAGAACTTGAGAACAATGACTTGGAGCCACGGGCCTCAAGGCTGAGGTGCCTATGTGAACATTTCAGGAGATGTCTTGACTATATTGTGTTACTTATCTGAATTAAAACCTTTTGTCTCCTCCTCCCCCCAAATGGGGGAGGGGGATTAAAAGGCATGTTGCATTGGGAAAATCTGCTAGCAGAGGCTTCTCCAAAGTGCTAAAGAACAAAGTTGTCAGTTTTAAAGAGTTAATATGTGCCTGATCCAAGCCATGTTTTTGGAGGGTTTTTTCCCCCAAATGTTTTGCATGTATCTGACACTTGGTCAGTGAACAAGGATGACAGAATAGATGCCTTTGAATTACGGTGTCGGAGAAGAGTGCTGAATATCCTCCAGACTGCTACAGGAACAAAGATGTCTGTTTTGGAGGAAGTGCAACCAGAGTGCTCCTTGGAGGCAACTGAGGCAAGGATGGGGAAACTGTCTCACATGTTGTCAAGGAGGAATTAGCCCTTGGAGAATGGGAGGAAGGAGAAAAAGAGGAAGACCCTCAACAAGATAGACTGACACAGTGACTGTAAGAGGGGCTGGAGCATATCAGAGATGACAAGGATGGTGCAGATAGGGCAAGGTTCAGATCTGCTGTTCATAGGATCGACTCAGTGACACCTAACACCTGCAGTGGTAAAACTCATAAAAATTCAAACCAAAGCCAAATAGTCATAATAGTGTTGTTGAGTAATGATGAGAGGCACTAAAAACAAGCAAGCCAGATCGCCTTAAGTGTGCTTTGTCTGAGCTCGATGATTGGAAGTTAAGGAATACTTGTAAGTAGCCTAGCAGCTGCTCAGGAAATACTCATGGCAGCCTTAGTCAAGCTTGAAGAGTTTAAATAGTGGTTTCCAGTATTGCCGAGGGACGCTGCATCCTGAGATGGGAAGGAAGCCCTCCTCGGCTGTTTCCTTCCCTTCGTCCACTCTGAGGGGCTGCTGGTCTCACCTGAGCTTTCCGTGTAGTCCCTTGGAGTCAGGTTTTGCTTTCTGTTCCATCAGTTGCGTCATCATGAGGATTAGAGAGTAATGAGAGAGTGAAAAAGGTACTTGGACTCCTCCTCCATTAATAAATGAGATCAGTTCCCCAGGCAGTTAGGGGACTTCTTGGGCCATACTAAAATTAGAAGTCTTGACTTCCCATTCGGTGTTCTTGTCAATGTTTCCAGTGATTTAGATTTTTTTTCCCTATAATTATATTTTATTAATTTTCATAAACATTTACAGAGATTTTGGGTTTCCATTCATTCACCGCTGCACCATTCTCTCTACCCTCCTCCCAGTTTGTTCTTGTCCAAATGCCACAGTGCTTGTCAAAGCCAGTTCTGATTAATCTTCTTTGTCAGTGTGTCCTTTGCCATTCCCTATCACTCCTCCCTGAGAGAGACTTCACCCTGAGTCATAAGGAAAAGGGGATGGCGTATTCTCTTAGCTACTTCCTGCTGAATTGGGACGCTGTGGGTTTCAGGGTGTCCAGTGATTTAGATTAAATAGGAAAAATTACTTAGCACCCTGCTTCTTACCTGCTTTGGTACTTTGATCTTCTTTCACACCTCGGTTTTCTTATCTGAGATGGGGGGTGATTATAGCAGCACATACCTTCTGTGGTTATTATGAAGAAGGCTATATGTGTTACTATATGGAGCACACTCAGAATAGTGGCTGGCATAAGAAAAGGCTTATTCAAGCCTCTTACAAACCCTGGTGTGCAGTGTTTAAGTGCTTAGTTGCTAACTGAAAGGTCAGAAGTTTGAACCTAGAATTTTTTTTTCAAACATGCTCTGCGAGGCAGTCACAAGTAGGCAGTAGGAAACACCGATCGGTACAGCTACAGTCTCTGTGCCTGGTGGCACCGTGGTTGAAGTTTTCAGTTGCTCAGTGGTTTGAACTCATCAGCTGTTCCACAAGATGCTCCCATATAGATGAAGGCCTAGGAGCCCCGGTGGGGCAGCTCTGTTCTGTCACACGGGGTCACTGTGGATTGAAGGTGACTCCAAAGTCATGGACTTGGGTTGCTTTTTTTCCTCCCCCCCGCCCCAACCTGGCATCTCGGGCATTTTGTGAATCACTTTGCAAAACTATCATCCATTCTAAGGGTTAATCCCAGTGTGGACTGCCTTGATTGTAGCCTTTAAGAGTTAAATCCTAAAAAAAGAAGGGGGGGGGGGAAAAGAAAGTTAAATCCTTAATGCTGGAAGGTTTAAGAGAATATTACAAATCAGATTCTTCCCCCCTTCTGTTTGGATTTACCGGTGTCTGGGAGTATGTCTGAGAAGTTTCACACGTGTTGTTCATGACCACATCTCTGCTCTCTGTGCCTGCTCTCAGTCATCCTCCATATCAGTGGCTGCAGTTGCCCCACCAGACTCTGAGCCGATGCCTCAGGCTTTTCTGTGCTGCCCTGTGATTCTCAGAATGATAATCCCAGTGAAGGTCTAATTAACACTGTGAAGTATGGGAGAACAAAGTTGATGGATACAGGCAACCTGCAAGATTGGAACTGGACCTGGTTGCCTTGTTTTCCTGGGTGTCTCGCCTTTAAGAGGGTACACACACTGTCCTCTGCTCTCTATCATTAGACGATGATGGGCATTTTCTATCTCTGATACACTCCTGCCTTGCACAAATTTCACCTCTTGAAGATTTTACTCTATAATCCCTTTAATGACAGCTCCAGGTAAAGACCCCTGAAGAAGATAAAGAGATCTAGTGGAAAACAATTGTTAATTATTTTTTTATGCATTAGGCCCAGTGATTACAGAGAGCTGATTACAGAGTTGTCCAAATAGGACAACTAGGCGCATCCTAGGTGGGCGCAGCTTGTTTCCAAAGTGACAGAAATCTCATAGCAAATTTTGATCTTACTGTAATCAAAATTTTAAAAAACCAAAAAAACAAATGCTAACACATTGAAGAGGATCTTCCATGTTTTTATTTTGATGAGAGTCATGTTTAACAAACTATTATTGTTAGGTAGGACATCAAGCTGGTTCTGAGTCATGACAATTCCAAGTCTGATAGACTGAAACTGCCAATGGGTGCCCATCATCCTCTAGTCATTGCTATGTGTGAGTCCATTGTTGCTCCCACTGTGCCAGTCCACCTCGCGGACACTGACCCTCTCTTTTACCAGGCATTATGTCCTTCCCTGGAAACTGCTTCCTCCTGAGAATATAGTCAAAGTGTGTGAGACAGAATCTCCCCACCCTGGCTTCCAAGGAGTTCTCTAGCCTCACTTCCTCCAGGGCATTAACCGTTGCCACAGAATTAATAGAGCTTTGTTAAAACCTGTTGTATTTTCTTTTCTGTTGTAGTTTGCACTTGGTACTCTGATTCCCGATGGACAAAGAATAATTTGGGACAATAAGAGGGGCTTTATAATCTCAAATGCAACATACAGAGAAATAGGACTTCTCAGCTGTGAAACCACCGTCAACGGACGTTTGTATAAGACCAACTATCTAACTATTCAACAGAGTAAGTAATCATCTTTTTTTAAAAAAAAATATTGGTTTGCATAAAAAATTCATATTCATTGTGTTTCACACTTTTCCTTCATTCATATTGTGGTTCATACAATCATTCTCATACACGTTGTCTTATAAAATTAATCACTGTTGATGTATGCCTTCTATGACCCTGTCTTTTCAGGTCTCATCTGCATCTTTCCCATTTTCTTCATTCCATCCCTCCACCCGCCAAACTCAGCATCTTGTTGATTTCCCCACTGCCCACCCTGAGCTCACCCCCACTCTGCTCATTCCATCCCCCTCTTTGCACTTGTACATATATCTTACTGGTTATCCTTCTATTTTTATATTATGGTCTTATGCAGTATTTGTCCCTGTAAGACTGAGTTAGTTCGCGTAGCATAATACTCTCCTGTCTATCCCATGTTATGTAATAACTTTCAAAATCATTGCTCCTGATGCTGTGTGGTATTCTATCTTGTGAATGGACCACAATTTTCAATTCATTCATTAGCTGTTGGACAGAATTCTAAGATAGAGTGCTCTGTGATTTATCTGCCTTATGCAATTCTAATTTTAAAAATGTACCTGTTACTCTTGTAGCCAATACTATCACAGATGTCCGAATGAGCCCACCAGGTCCAGTGAAATTACTTCAAGGTCAGACACTCACTCTCAACTGTACAGCCACCACGGCCTTGAACACCCGAGTTCAGATGACCTGGAGTTACCCTGGTGAAGTGAGTGACTCATTTTTCTCTGTGTTCTGGAAGACAGTATTCTACGTTAGGACAGGAACTGTCACTGGGTTTCGAGGTAGAGAAGAAGATATTTGTCAAAGGGAGGAGTAACCTGGAAGTAGAGTTTCACAAAGTTCTTTAGTCTGTTAAATTCAGGGAATCAAGACTCTGATTCCTGGTAATGACATGTTGCTGTTGAAGTACAGTATTCTGATTTCTACAGAAGGTTTAAAAGGAGCTCTGGCAGGTGGGGGGTGGGTAGGGTGGGTGGGGAGAAAAGTGCAACAATGAATGAAAGTGCAACAATGAATGAATGGAAGTCCCAATCTCTGTAAATGTTCATTGAAATTAATGGAAAAAAAATGAGCTCTGGCGATATGTTGCATTGCTGAGAGCAGCAGTTTGAATGAAGGTCACCAGCAGCTGCTCCAAGGAAGAATGATGACATTCCCCTCTTAGGAAGATTTGCAACCTCAGAAATTCAGTGGAGGGCGGCTGTGAGTTGGAACAGACTTGGTTGGGTGGTTTTGGTTTGGAATTTTAAAGATGGTGTAGAAGATCCTGGTGGCACTGTGGGTTAAGCCTTGGGCTACTAACCAAAATGTCAGCAGTTCGAATCTACCAACATCTCCAATGGAAGAAGATGAGACAGTCTGCTTCTACAAAGATTACAGTTTTGGAAATCCTATGGGTCAGTATTCTACTCTGTCCTGTAGCATCACTGGAATCAGCTGAAAAGCAGCAGGGATTTTTTTTTCCTTTCCCCTTATTTTTAGTGATGGTGTAGCCACTCAGGAAGCTGTCAGTTCACTTCTTTCTTTGCCTTACATTTCAAGGATGTGCTATGCAGAGATGGGGTCTTTGGATGTGTGAGAATTTTGTTTGAAGTTTATTGGCTGATATTTCTATTGTATAATCTGAATGGAAAGAGACTATATCATCCTCAGAAAAATGTTCTCTTGGATGTAGAGATTGGAGAGATGGGTTCTTTTAGAGAGTGACAGACAGGCCGGTCCCTGACTTGGAGTGTGTTTGGAGAGACACTCCAGCCCCATAGCTCATGAGCCCGTCTATCAGGTGTCAGAGGAACCCTGCTAGCCTTCTGAAAAATGGGAAAAGTGGAGACTGAGTTGGATTTTCTTACTCAGTCTGAATATCCTTATAAAGAATAGTTGTTTTCAAAACCTGCATGTGAGGGGAAAGGAGCCCCTGGTGGTGTAGTGTGCAATGTATTGACCTGCAAACTAACAGGTTGGCAGTTCAGAGCTACCAGCTACACCACAGGAAAGAGGAACAATTTCTTCCTGTAAAGACTGGCAGTCTTGGAAACATGATGGAGGGTCACTAGGAATTGGAGGAGGCTCAGTAGCAGTGAGGTTTTTAGTGGGATGGATGGGAAGAGTGCGCTCTGCTGGCACAGTGGATTAAGCATTGAATTGCCAACCAGAAAGCCAGTGGTTTGAATTTGCCAACTGGCCTGTGGAAGAAAGGTGAGGCAGTGTGCCTCCCTGCATGGGTATGGCCTCTTAAACCCTGTGGGGCAGTTGTGCCCTGTCCCTCAGGGCCCCTGAGAGTTGGCATTGACTTGATAACAGTGGGTTAGGCTGGGTGGGGTTTGGTGTAGACATGGAATCTGTGATAACCTCATCAGAACATTTGGATGGGAGCTATAGCCTCCACTTCTTGTGTGCCTATGTGATTTATGTGGCAAATCCCAGTAACAATCATTTGTTAACATCATTCCAATTTTCTAGTCACAGAGTCAGCTTATGCTTGAATTAGGTAAAGCAGTCTATGCACTAGCTTCCTGCTCTAAGCCATTGGTTGAATGGTTGTTGTTGGTTGGTTGTTTTTAACTAGCATTTTGTCCCATGACAATAAAATAATTTAGCAACAGAAAGTGCTCTGTAGTGATCCAGTAAAGGGGTAAAACTGGGACAACACCTGCCCCATGAGCCTAAAGTCTTCTGTTGGCCTTTCCTGAGGTAAACATTGGACGGCTTCTCACCATGAGCATCTAAGGTGTAAGTTAAACATGAATGACAACTTCCATCCGATGAACCTCTAGGTCTTCTTTTAGCATTTCTTGAGGTAAACATAGGGCAACCTCTCCCAGTGAACACCTAGACCTTTCCCTGAGGTAAACGTGATGGCACCCTCCCTCCCATGAGCCTCTAGGTCTTCTACTTGTCTTCCCTGAGGTAAATATGGGACAAGACCTCACCCATGAGCCTCTAGGTCTTCACTTGGTCTTCCCTTGTGTAACCATGGGATACTCCCCACCCTTTGAATTTCTAGGTCTTCTATTGGTCTTCCCTGAAATTAATATGGGACAGTCTACCCTTTTGAGCATCTAGATCTTCACTAGGTTTTCCCTGAGGTAAAAATGGGACAGTCTCTCCCTGTGGGCATGAGATTTTCATAGTATTTTAAGTAAACATGGATGACACCCCTTCTCTCATGAGCCTCTAGGTCTTCCTTGAGACCAACCTGAGATCACTCAAGTGTTTGATGGCTTTGGATGGTTTTAGATATGCTTAACTGTATTTTTGCCGCACTTGGAAAGCACTGCTCACACATTGAATTCATGAAGCTAGAATTATTCCACCTTATTTGCCATTGTGGGGACTCTTCTTTTCCTGCTTTTTTGAGTGGTGCAGCAAAAGGAAGCTCAGAAGGTGATTTATTGACAGCACAGTCATTAAGCCAGATACAGGAGACAATTATTGCCTGTGTTTGTGTGTGAGAAGACTCCAAAAAGCTGAGTTCCCAGCTTCTTTGTCTGGTGTCTCTGTCACTTCAGGGACTTCCTTGGTAAAAGGACAATAATCCTTCTTGTCTCATAAGTTTGTTGTGAGAAAAATGGAGGACTGTGAAAGCTCAACCAAAGATAACGGAGTGCTGAATAAATGCTGCTGTGTTCTGCAATTGAAACACACCAAGATGGACCTGTGTCTCCAAACAGTCTTGCTCTAGTTGACTTTGGCAGGATCTTTCACATAAAAAGTTGTTGAAATATTGATTGTCCTGATGATCTGAGAAGTGCTGTAACTTTAAGCATGAACGATTATTGTTTGCCCACTGAGGTTATATAATACATTTCCTTCCTAGACAACTAACATAGCTTCCATCAGGCGACGGATTGATCAGAGCAACCGAGATGCCAATGTATTCCACAGCGTTTTAACCATTAACCAAGTACAGATCAAAGACAGAGGACTGTATACTTGTTATGTGAAGAGTGGACCTTCGCTGAAATCAGCCAACGTCTCTGTATGTGTCTATGGTAAGTGTTAGGTCCCAGTCGCCAGCTCATGCTGTGTTTTCTCATCATTGTGTATTCTTTAGAGTCTAGAAAACAAATCCCTTCTCTTTTAGCCAAGAGTTACAATGTCCTGAATGAATGGAACTTTGCCATGGTTCCCTCCTCTTCCCTTCTCCTCCACCAGCTTTCAAATCCTGTTAAATGCTCTTTGAGTTAATTTAGGTAACTCACATGGTGAATAACTGAAATTGATTTTTTAATTGGATAGTCTTTTTTTTCCAAACTCACTGTGGCCAATAATACAGCTCAAGAATTCATTTTGCTCAGGAAATTAGTGTTTCATAGGAACCAAACAAAAAAGGTGACTTGTTTTACCTATATTAAGTGGGGAAATTTAAAAAAAATTTCTTTTCATTATATATTGATTTGCATACAAAATTCATATGCATTGTGTTTCTTTCGGACACATTTTATACATTCCTTCCTCTACATTGTATTTCATACAATCACAATCATTCCTACATAATGTGTTTTATAATCGCCATTGATCTGTGCCCACTAATCAGCCCTCTGTCTTTTTAGGTCCCCCTCTGGTATCTTTCCTAATTCCTTCACCCCCTCCCTCTGCCCACCAAACTTTGCAACCTGTGACCTTGCTGGGAAAATGTTTTTAAATACTACTGTGAAATTTTAAAAACAACCTCAAGCTCATTGCTGTTGAATAGGAACTGAATAATAGCTGAGCCTCCAGCTGGTTTTTGGAGTCTATAGAGAAATGAACAGTTTGATAAATTACTATTTGTTGTTATGTGCCATTGAGTTGCTTTTGACTCATAGCGACTCTATATACAACAGCTCTGAACTCTGCTGTATCCTGAGCCAACCTCATCGTCTCTGACACGCCAACCCCCATTACCCTAGTCACTGAATGAGTCCATCTCATCCAGGTCTTCCTCTCTTGTGCTGTCCCTCCACCCTTCCAAGCATGGTTATTTTATCTCGATTTTTATGCTCAAGAAAATCCAGTAGTCTTATTTAATTTCAATATGCAAATTCTGTGGACAGCATTCTTGTTGCCGGCAGGCATCTTGAAGCTATTTGCCCTTGCACTGACCTCATGTGACAGAGTTGAACTGCTCTGGAAGGTTTCTCCACAGGAATCTTTATGGACACTAATTGCCAGCTCTTTATCCTGATGAGTTGCTGGGTGGGTTTGAACTGCCAACCTTTCAGTTGGCTGCCAAGCACATGATATTGCAACATCAAGGCTCCTTATATAAATCCCATCAGAGTTCTTAAAACTCTTATCTACTCTCATCATTGAAAGAAAAAAAACAGAATTGTGAGGAGCAGAAACGGAATAATTCTGTCCATTTTCTTTTCTTCCCTTATGTCTTCCAGGTTTGTTTTGTTTTGTTTTATAAATCAGTTGTTTTAGACAGGTGACTATTTGGCACATAACAACAACAACAACAACAGTGTTTTAAGATATTGACAGCCATTTTCTGTCATCCAACTAATATTTGTCAGGTAGATTTTTAGTAGTTTTTCCTACTTTTCTATTACTATGGTCTATTAGTTTGAGGTTTTTTTTCCCCTTTCCATTGTCCTCCTACTATGGTTCTTGTTTTCAACTTCTTGTGTACATGTGTGAGGGAGAGACAGACAGACAAATGTGTGTAGACACACAGCTGATCTTTTAAACAATACTGACTTAGAGGTATCATTCTTCTTTTTGCATTGTCAGAAATCCACATTCAACTTTTAACCACCTAAAAACTCAACTCGTAGTAGCCAGCTGTTGACTGGAAGACTCAGTGACAACATGAATAGTAGATTAGCACATATTTGGTAGAGTTTTTGTATTATAAACTACATCTACAAAAAAGCTACCTTTTCAGTACTGCATAAAAATGTGTTTTTATTTCTGTGTCATCCACGTGCGCGCGTGTGCAAAGTTGTTGCTGGCCTTGCTGCAGTGATAGTGACAGCTTCATGAATTTCCTTGTCTTTTTGTAAGGCACCCCTTACTCTGGATTCATTGTTGATCTTGAAATGGCAGGCAGCCACAGCTGCACATGTCAGTCTACTTACCTGCCAAGCATTTTAGCATGTCATGTAATGTCTCAATTAATCCCTACTTCTGGGGAGCACTTCCAGTATCATTGTTGTTGATGTTGTGTACCATCAAGTCAGAACTGACTCATGGCTAACCCTACAGAGGATTTTCAGAGACATTAAATCACATGGGAGGAGATTGCCCATCTTTCTCCTCTGGAGAAGCTGGTGGATTCAAACCATGTTGTCATCTGGGGTTTATAGTCTGCACTGAACACCATAGGAGATACCAGAGAATGGAGGGCGGCCACTCTTTATGTAGCATAAAGTTTGATAGAGGGAAAAACTGCTTGAGGAGATTATTTAACATTACATGACTTTTTTAAAAATTCATACATAAGTGGACTTGTACAGTTAACCAACATTGCTCAGTAGTCAACCATGTATGTATCTGTGTATGTGATGACATAATTATATATTACTATATTGCCCTGCTTTTGTGTATGTTTCTCCAACTTAATAATTACTTCATTTTCAAGTACTTTACCAATTATGATGTTTCAAATTGGGCTTATTGATAAACGTGATCCTTATGAATTATTGGTTTTCATCTAATCATTCCTACATATTTTGTTTTATAACATTAATTACAATAGAGTAACTTAATTAATGACCCTTATTGTGTATCAGTAACTCCCAGATAGGCCTGATCCTCATTCAGCTCTATTTTGTCTTGTTCATTGCTGTATCCTCTCAAAAAGAAGCAATGAGGTCTGTTTGTTTTATTTTGTTGTTCAGGTTTTATTTTTTTAGGGGAATATTTTTGCATAGAAAATTTCCTTACTAATACATTTATGGCTTCTGCTTTCATAGATAAAGCCTTCATCACTGTGGCACATCGAAAAGAGCCGGTGCTGGAAACGGTAGCAGGCAAGCGGTCATTCCGGCTCTCCACCAGAGTAGGGGCATTTCCCTCTCCAGAAGTCGTGTGGTAAGAGTCTAGTCACTTTTTCATCAGTTTCAGATAAGCTTGTAAATAGGAAGATGTTAGAGACCCATGGCTTGGCTTCCTGGGGGGGAAAAAATACCGAGTTCCTCAGACTGAGAGCTAGGAATTGTTGTGATTTCCTGGAAGGGGAGAGCTTCCAGAATGTAACAGGAGGGAGCAAAGGAATGAAATTTTCTTGAGTGTTCATTTCAGTCTGGTCAGAGATTCCCTGGGACTACATTTCTGCATCTGTGAACCTTGAGATGATGTCAACCCCCTTTGAATGAGATATGTTGGGCAATGAGTAGAATGCATCCCAGACATGTACCATGCTCTATTAACCCTGAAGAAGTAGGTCCTTGTAATGAGGATGCTGGAAATAATTCCTTTATGGACAGCTGGATGGAAAGTTCCAGTCTTGTTTTCAGTTTAAGCAAACATTCATGGAGACAAGACCTATTCATTGGCAAGGGTGAACTAATGGATTTGCTTGTTCTAAAGAAAAGAAAAAAATTTTTTTTTGGCTCAAAGGTTGCATATTCAGAAACTCCTTAAATAGTTTTAAAAATACTGGTACAACACCTTGATAGAAAACAATGTAATCTATTTAAAATCTGCTGTCATTTTGTTAAATCACTTATAACAGCTAATATCTTTGGGCCAACTCATTACATTTCTAACAAAGGGTATAGTATGAAATAATTAGGAAAACAACTCATACAATATAGAGATGGTACCTTTTTATTTCATATTGATGTATTTACTAAGTTCGAATACATTGTTTTTGACACAAGGCCTTCCCATTTCCTTTACATCCCCCTGACGATGCCATTCTAGAATCTGCAACCAGCACTTTATTATTTTTATCACAATACCATTAATGTTGTGTCGAATTACTTTCATTTTCCTCAAATAGTTAATGAGGAATTTAAAAGAAAAGAAAACTTTATGCTTTGTCCCTTCTTGTCCCCTCAGTAAAAAAGAAACTTACCTCCCCCTGAAAATATCTAGAAAGTTCTTTAGTAAATTTCTTATCACAGCAGCTGTAGAGTTAATTTGACTCTGGGTGACCTCCATTGGGTTGCCAAGACTGTAAGTCTTGACAGAACGAGATTACACATCCTTTTCCTGCACATTGATTTTTCTTAGCAGCCTACTACATAACCTGCTGCACTACCAGAGCTCCTTATGTTTCCTGTGAGTATACATTGTCTTTTAATGGGAATTTAGTCACTTTAAGGATTAGAGTTGTATTGTCTTACAGTGTCTGAGAGGACTCCATCTCGTAATCAGTACTGATTTCTTCCATAACGACGTATAACAAGAACCTAAAAAGAAAAAGAAAAAAAAATCAGTACACTTGGAGAATGCTGGCTTGTTTATAAGTATTAATTTTCAGTCATATTAAGATGATGCTTTTAATCACAAAATAGAAGCATGAACGTTTTAACTGCTTTCAAATTGAGACCTAGTGGATACCAATTTATTGCTAGATTTATTTGCCAGAGTATGCAAATAATGTTAAACCTTTTTAATAGAACATGATGAATTCTGAACAGAGTTCTTTCGAAATCAGTTTAAATAATTTGTGGTGATTATATGCTGTTGAGTAGGAACAACTCTCACATAGCTAACCCCTCCAGCAGGTTTTCAGAGATTGTATGTCAAATAGGAGGTGAAGATGTTAATAATAGATTCTAGAGTTTAAAAGTGTCTGAGATTCTGTAGAAAATTTGGGGAAATTGAGGCAGGTTAAGCCACACGAACAGATTAAGAACCTACATTTGTCAACTCTGAGTTGTGTCTATAGCTGAGTGATCTTGGGGTGCCACTTTTTAAAAAATTTTAAAAAAAATTTTTTTTAACTGTTTACTAGTTTATACTTTCTGTTGTGAGTTTCATGTTTTAACTATTCTTACTGGGGTGGGGAGAATCTTGATAATCTTGATTTCATTATAATTTATGAAAGGGACAACTGGTGTGACCATTTGTGTAACTAATAAGAACGCCACATGAGATCACAATGGAAAGGTCTATTTTTATTTTTATCTGGAGAAGTGATCTGGTTGATGTGACTTACAATGGCCCTTGTGTTGCTAATGGCATCTCAGGAAAATTCGGGAAAAATACCTCGGGTGGAATCAAATGTGGGGCCTCCAAGGTAGCATACAACTCACAGAGTGCCATAACCCATCACTTTGCTGCCTTCCCTCAGGTTCTCTTAACCCTTTGCCAACAAATGGGAAACTGCCCCCAAGCTAAAACTCATTCCTGCCAATATGGAAGTCCATGCCAGGTTTTTAACCCAGTCAATACACAGTGTCAAATACTTGAGACATAAGAGCTTGAGTTTACAAAATGATATCCATGTGACTTACTAATTATTCTCTTCCTTCAGGTTAAAAGATGGATTCCCTGTGACTGAGAAATCTGTGCGTTATGTGGTTCATGGCTATTCATTAATCATCAGAGATGTAAATGCAGAGGATGCTGGCAATTACACCATCCTGCTAAGCATAAAGGAGTCCAATATCTTTAAAAATCTCACCACCACACTCATTGTAAATGGTAAATTGGCTGCTTCATACATTCTTTTGGTTCTGGGTCAAGAAGGGTAGTTGGTGGAGGAGGGGGGAAAAAGAATGAAAACTGATAAATTTTTAAGTCAGTGCCACAGCATTCAAGATTACCTTGGGGGGGAAAAAAGAATAGAAGTATTAATTTAATTCTTTGTGCTTAAGTATATCACTGCAGTGAAATATTCTCCCTCTGTCTAGCTTAGTGGTTAAGAAGTTGCACTGTCAATCCAAAGACAAGTGGTTCAGATCCACCAGCTGTTCCTCAGGAAAAAGCTGAACAATCTCTTTCTATACAGTTTCAGCCTCTGAAAATCCAGTAGAGGGTCAGTTGTGAGTGGATCCTGACTCGACAGCAATGAGTTGAGTTGATCTTGATAAAATAGAAAGAAAACTCCATGCTAAATTTCAGTGGTCTCGGAATGTCACACAATATCCTAACCTTAAATGCATGGCCGGAGAGATTACTGTGAAAGCTTACTGTGAAAAAAGATCTGAATATTTTACAAGTGATGTGAATGTTTTACTCCCATCAAGCAAGTATTTCACTTTGTAAAATAAATGATGGAGATATTTTACTACTCCCAACAGACACTTTGTCAAAAGGAAAAAAAACCCACCCAAACCCCAGTTAATAAGGTTTTCACCTTGAGAAGCGCTTTTGCAGAAGTTTCCTGAGAAACTCCACATACTTAATATAATCGTGCCTGATGTGTGTGTGAACTCAGTCGGGGTTTGAAGGCCCTCCGGTGGTGCAGGGTTATGTACTGAGCTGCTGGCAGAGAGGCTGGCAGATCGAACACACCAGTTACTCGGCTGGAGGAAGATGAAGTAGTCCACTTCCATAAAGATTCACGCCCTTGGAAATCCTATGGGGCTGTTCTACTAACACTGACAGACTTGGTTTGGATTCTTGTGAAGCACATACTCCACTGCTGTCCAGTCTGTTCTGACTCAAGACAGTTCTCTTATGGATATCCGAGCCCAGCACATAACTCATTATGTCACTTGGGCTCCTTATAAGGTCCATAGGAGTTGTGTTACAACCTGAACTTCACACATACGCAAATAAGGATCTGAACCTTCAGAAAGTGAGCTTGTGTAGCATATGAGAAGTGTGTTGCTAAGCCCGAGGCCATGTCTCTGGTCATTCACATGTGCCAGCAGGTTCTCCAGAAAATGATGAGCTTTCTCCCCCTGTTCAGTGAGTCAGTTTGACTCAGTGTCAATGAAAGACAAGAGAAACTTCTGAAAACAGGAAGTATGCCAGCTTTTTTTTTTTTGCTACCATCAAGAAAGACAACAAAATTTCATGTGATTGTTTTAAAAACCACTTGTAGAAATTCCCATCCTAACAATTTCTTGTGGCTTGTTACCGTTTATAGGCAGCAGGCTTTTTGTCATATTATAATTGTCATATCATACCATGGATTCAGATTTTTCATGTTCTCATAAAACACTTCCACTACCATTTTATTTTCTTGGCATTTCCTTGCCAAGTACCAGGGGCTCTTTGTTTGCTCATTAACAAGTTTATATCCCTGACGCCAGAACCATCGAGAATGTGGCCCAGCAGGAAGTCTCTAGAACAGCCCTTGACTTCTGTCCTACTCTTCATCTCCTTTCCAGTGAAACCCCAGATTTATGAAAACGCCGTGTCCTCGTTCCCAGACCTGCCACTCTATCCATTGGGCAGCCGGCAAACCCTGACGTGCACCATCTACGGCATCCCACAGCCTAAGGTCAAGTGGCTCTGGCAGGCCTGTCAACATAACCATTCTGCAGAAAGGTAGAAACGATCACTTTCTTGATGAACTTCTAAATAGTTTTTGGCACCTGGTATTCATATTCCTTAATGGCAAGAGCCAAGAACTCATGGGGAATTTGTTTCTGGTATGTAATATACTTGAGGCCAAAGCTTGCCTCCAGTGGAAGAGAGGTGAGCAAGAGCTACTCATCTTCCTCATCATTACCTCCACTGACCCACTGTGTTATCTTGAACTTGAGTTTGTTTGTTATCCAAGTTTTCTGTTTCATATCCATTGAACATGAGACTAGATCTTCCAAACATAGTTTATCAATGATACTGATACTTGGGGCTTTTGTTCATGCCCTTTCACAATGTGCAATGCATTTGCACTCTTTTCCGCCTCCTTTACCTTCCATGGCCCACCCGTTGCTCTGTCACTTCTCTCATTTCTTGCTGTTTCATCTGAACAATAGTACTCTGTTCAAGGCCATCATAGAATCACTAGTTGTGCACCTGATGATTCCCCCCTCCGCCCCCCCCCCCCATGAGCTGATGGCAAATCTGATGTCAAGGACTTCTTTAAAGTCCTAAAGACCGAGGATGTTGCTTTAAAGACTCTGGCATGCATGACACAGCTATGGTATTGCCAGTTGCTTCACATGCATCTGAAGTTAGGAAATGAATAAAGAAGATGGTATTGGCAAGGAGTACTGAGTATTCCATGGACTGCTAAAATCTATCTCAGAGGAAGTGTAACCACGGTACTGCTTAGAGACGAGGATGGTGATATGTCATCTTGCATATTTTGGGCATTTTATCAGGAAGGGCCAGTGCCTGGAAAGGCGGAGGGTCAGAGAAGGAGAGGAAGCTCCTCAATGGGATGGATTAATAGGGTGACTACAACAGTGGGCTTGAACGTGGTAGAAATTGTGAGGATGGTACAGGATAGGGCAAGACTCAGATTTGTTGTTGACAGAGTCACTATTGAGTCGTAGTTGACCTGAGGAGACCACAGTGAGCTGCTGGGGAACTCCTGTGTCCCTCCAGGGCATCTTAGCCAGCAGCAGGCGCAGGGTAGGGGGTAGATGAATGAACCGAGTGAATGGACACATTCCTGCCCACTGTTGATTGTGCAGAGCTTCCTTGCATCCTGTTGATGACTAAGCCCTATTTGTTCTTCCCCTTTTTGTTTAGTCTGGAGGGATGATGCTAATGATAGCTCCTGGGAGTTCTTTGGAAGACCAAGAATAGAAGTGATAGGTACAGCAATAAAATACTAATGAGAGGACCCTAGAATTTTCATTATGCCTGGAATAGTTTCTTTATTGCTCTTCACGCTGCTCTCAGAGTGTGGGAAGAGCTTTTTTAAAAAATTACTCACATACACACAAGTACGTACACCTGCACAGCCTGGCTTGATTAAACATAAACAAGACATAGCTCTTTCATAAATTATGTGGCTTCCTCAGTTCCAGCTCTTGATCATCTTGTGTCGTAATTGTCTGCTTAGGGCCATTAAGACTGGAAAGTTACTAGTGAGTTCACATTCCTGTGAAGTAGTGGTTTCCACACCCAGTTGGTTGCTCATTTGAGTGTCATGTTCTGGAAATGGAAACACAGTTTGGGATCTTGAGTATCTTCTATACCATTGTGGATTAATCATCCGGGAGAAACAGATCTTACTGGGATTTCTCAATCATTTTGCTCAGGATGCAAAGGAGTCAGGCTTCCTCAAGTTGGGCTATGTAATCTTTTCTACATGGTAACTTAGTACATGACTTACTTTCTCCCACTTAAATGAAAAGTAGGGAGCGCTGATGACCTAGTCAGTAGGAAGTTGTACATTCAACCTCAAGGTGGGTGGTTCAAATCCATCAGAAGCTCTGTGGGAGAAAGAGGGGCATTGTCCTCCCATGAGATTTACAAACTCTGAGAACCTGAGAGGGTCAGCAACAGTGAGTCATATGAAGGCATTCCTACTGAATGCATAAACCAAAACAAGCAGACAAATCCAGATTGAATGATGACTGGATTCACAATACTTTAAAATACATAGAATAATTCTTGGTATTTAAGTTGTAAGCTTGAGTTAAAGGATATATGTATATTTGGACACAGCCAAAGCACTAGTTTGATTCTAGACTCTGTGTGTGTGTGTGTGTGTGTGTGTGTGTGTGTGTGCGCGCGCGTGTAAGTAACTCAAAATTATTACTTTATTTAGTATGACTGACAGTTATTATATATCAGCTAATAGAGAGAGATAAAAGTGTTAACATTCCCTGGAGAATCTACTAATTATGGAAATAATTCATAAAATACAGTGTGTGTGTGTGTGTGTGTGTGTGTGTATACATATATACACTTAAATACATTTAAAATCTATCAGAGCTATTGCATATCTGTTTAATCTTTATGGCTATAAAGAGCTTAAATGGCCTTATTTATTTTTTGTCTTTTTAATGTGGTAAAATGCTTTAAGTGAACTGTGCTTTGGCTAAATGATACTGTGGTTTTTGTTTTTCCTAGAATTTTTTTTTTTTTCATAAACACTGGGAATGAAAGAGGGCAGAGGAAAAGACAGTGTTCTGAAAACTTGCATTACTACTGAATAAAGAAGAAATAAAATAGAATTTCTCCCTCCCCCGGCCCCTGCAGATTTTAGTAAACTGATCACAGATTTAGGGTATTGTGTGTTAACATAAGTTATCAATACAGAGTGAGTTTGGAGTTGGTTGGTTGTTTTTTATCCTCAGCAAAATCCCAAAGCTATTGCTAATGAGTTTCTTGAAGAGGCTGGAGCTGCCCCAGAAGGACCCGAAGGCTGTCATCTTCAAAGAAGCTAACTGCCTCATCTTTTCCTCATGGGTTTGAACCACTGACCTTTTGGACTAAGCAACTGAGCACTCAGCTGTATAGCTAGGGCTCCTTTAGTAACAGTTGGAAACCAAATCCATTGCAGGAGAAAGACCTGGCAATCTATTTCTTGTAAGATTACAACCTTGGAAACCCCACAGGGCAGTTTTACTCTGCCCCTGGTCCAGACCATGGTCTTTGCAGTTACTTCCTGTGCCTCTGAAAGTTGAAAAGTGAATGAGGATGATAGAAGCAGAATTCATGCCTTTGAGTTATAATGTTGGAGAAGAATGTTAAATAGCCCACAGACTGGCAAAAAACTAAACAAATACCTCTTGGAAGAAGTTACAGCCAGGGTGCTTCTTAGAGGCAAAGATAGCGTTAAGTTGCTTTCACATACCCTGGGCATATTGTCTGGAAGGGTCCGGCCTTGGAGTGGGACATCATGCTGGGAACAGTGGAGGGTCAGAGAAAGAGAGGAAGAGCCTCAACTGGATAGGTTGACACAGTGACTGTGACAGTGGGCTTGAGCATGAGAGAGATGATGAGGACAGCACAGAATAGAGCATCGTTTAGATCTGTCATTCATAGGGTACACTATGAGTCCTTAGGTGACTCAGAAACACCTAGCAACAACAGGGTCGCATGGAGTTGGCATCCCCTTGACGAGAGAGAGAGATTGATTTGTTGTGGGTGATTTTCTTTTTAAAAAATTGTTAGCATTGAACGAAACGAAATAAGAGCCAAGATCATTTTAGGAACTAGAAAAGAAACTTCTGCCTGCTACAGACCTTGTTTCACAACAGGGAGAAATTTTACCAATCACTTCTGAGAAATGAACCCATCTTGTTCATTTCAAAGTCAAATTCCATTTTGCTCCTCTGAAGAAATAGAAATTTATTTCTGGTTGGGTGGGAAAGGCTACAGGTGTTACGACATCATAATTTATGATATTTCAAGAGAACAACAATGAAGAAAATATAAAATTGCACAAATGTAGTAGAAAGAATAAAGAAAGTAGTGCAATGGGGAGATGAAGTCACTTCCATTTATAGACTGTTCGTTCGTCTTTGTTCTGTCCAGGGAGGAAGTGGTTCAGGTCTGTGGCTCAGGCTGTGGTGGGGCAGAGCAGCGTGCGGGAGAGCTGGTTTCTGCTTGGCCAGTCCACAGGAGAGTTCTAGAATCCGCTAGTCCTCTTAAATTTTGAAGACTAAGAATCATGCAATGGCCTACCCTCAGTCTTATTCATATTCCTCGTCAGCTTTGCCAAAGCGCCAATAGGTTCATGTTGTATAGTCCTGTCAAGATTTCTAGACCAGAAGTGGCTCCATTGGAGAAAGATGAATTGTTTCTGTCCATAAAGATTTACAGCCTCATAAACCTGGCGGAGGGCCACTGTGAGTTGGAGTCAACTAGATGGCGCTAGGTTTGGATTTTGGTGTAATCTTTACTGAAGCAAGCTGCCTAATCTTTCTCCCAAGGAATCCTTTGGTGTATTTATACTGCTAACTCAGCACCCAGCTCAACACTTCACTATTGTGCCACCAGGGTATCTCTATAATCCTACCAGATTCCACTGCCATTAAGTCGATTTTGACTCGGATGCTTAGAAGATGTTCAGGTCACTGACTTGGAGATTGTCATGACCACCTGGGTCTTGGACTCAGTGTCATCTGTTGTTATTGCTATTAAATGCCATTAAGGAAGCCCAGACTTAGTGACCATGTACAACTGAATGACGCCCTGCCAAATCCCGCACCATCCTCGCAGTCATACCTATGCTTGAGCCCACTGTTGAAGCCACTGTCAATCCATGTCATTGAAGGTCTTCATCTTTTTCACTGACTTCCTTTTCTAAGCGTGAAGTCCTTCTTCAGGATCCTCCTCACACAACATGCCTAAAGTTTGTGAGATGAAAACTTACCATCCTTTCCTCTAAGGAGCACTGTGGCTACATTTCTTCCAAAACAGACTAGTTTGTTGTTTTGACTCTCTCTGGTACTTGGAATATTTAACACTCAACTTCTAGGCTGCCAACACAGGGATGTTGAGGGGACTTTTGCGTGGCCTATCCTTCCTGATGCTTCATAAGCTGAGATCACCTCCCCTCCCCACCTGCTGGCTAGAGTCCACCTGCTCATTTCCGAGGTTGGCCTTTTTTCTTTCTTCAACCTGCTTGTGAAATG